AGGAGGATGTTGGAAAACGACAACGTGGTTAAGTGCAATGGATTTAAGGTTTGGTTGTGTCTCTGTAGCTCCTCTGAGTTTTAAAATTACTTGAATCTCTGAAATGGAAAGATCTGAAATTTGATAGGTGATATATTTGAAATCACATAGGAGCAGTTTTTCCCACACCCTCTTTGTGGGGTGTGTGTGTGTGTGTGTGTGTGTGTATTTACTCAACATGTGCACATTTTCTACTTGCCCCATCTGGCATCTGCTGGAGCACCAGTTCACTAGCTGTTCTATGTCAAGAGTACTTTAGCCCTTTCATAATGAAAGGGAAAGAAATGAAACAATATAAAAAAGAGAAAATACTTCCACTCTCCTCCCCAACCTCACTTTTTGTTTTGCTGTTTCTAAGCGAGCTTCTTGCCATTTACCTTTGCATTTGCATTGCTTATTGATTGGCAATTTTAAAATTGTTTATTGTGCTCTTTTGTTTCCCTGTTGAAGAGCTGAAACAAAAGCTACCAGGCCCTGTGAGGTATACATTTGCATGCGGTAAGCGTTGCCCAAGGAAAAAGTAATTGCTAATGCATATTTATGTGGCACAAATTTGCCATTTGTTTATGCATAAAATTATCAATAGTGCAGGGCGGCCCAGCCGTAGAAAATGGTGACCTTTTTAGCTTAATAAATAGAAATCAGCTGTTATTGTGAAGAGATCAGCCATTTATTCTGTGTTGAGGGACATTGCCGGGAAAATGCAGATTGGGGCTGGCAATATCATTAAATGGAAGGCCAGTGACCCTTTCCGTGGAGTCTATTATACTTTATCTAATAGGGGATAAATGACTCTGGTAGGCAAATGGAATAAAGAACAACAGTTTTTTCTTTTTTCTTTTGAAATTGTATAACTATATGAATTTTTAGCCAGTAAGACTGAACAGGAAATCTCACAGTGACCTGTTGCTAGAATTCTCTCAAAAAGTATGTTTTAAAGTTGCCTTTTCTACTCATTATTCTCTATTTCAATTTGTACCCATTGAGACAAAGTAAATAAAATTAGACCATTTCCAGGAAAATAGGTCTTCCTTTAATTTTTAGCTCTCTTTTGATTTTTTTTTTTTGGCCATACTTTTTTCTTTGCATTGCAAGTATCCTTGCATTTTACAGCAGTGGTTCTCAACCTTCCTAATGCTGTGACCCTTTAATACAGTTCCTCATGTTGTGGTGACCCCCAACCATAAAATTATTTTTGTTGCTACTTCCTAACTGTAATTTTGCTACTGTTATGAATCACCATCAGAAATATGTGTTTTCCAATGGTCTTAGGTGACCCCTGTGAAAGGATCGTTTGACCCCCCCAAAAGGGTCGCGACCCACAGTTTGAGAACCACTGTTTTACAAGGTGGCTCTATATTTGATGTTTTAAAAATATTAAAAGTAGCCCTGGCCGGTTTGGCTCAGCGGTTAGAGCATTGGCCTGTGGTCCAGAGAGACCCGGGTTCGGTTCCCGCTAAGGGCATGTACCTCAGTTGCAGTTTGTCCCTGGCCCTGGTTGGGGTCGTGTGGGTGGCAACCACTCAATGTGTCCCTTTCACGTCGATGTTTCTCTTTCTCTTCCTCTCACTCTATCTGAACAAAAAATGGAAAAATCTCCTTGGGTGAGGATTAAATAAAAATATTAAGCGTAGAAGAAGAGATTATCAAAATAAAGTTACCAATAGATTGTAAACTGAGGTGTTTTGTTGTTGGACTAAGCATAATAGTTTCTAAGTGATAAGAATGGCTTTTGAAGTAAGTATCTGTGTCCTTTGGATTAAAGAATATCCAGCCCTGGCCGGTGTGGCTCAGTTGGTTGGACATTGTCCTGTGCACCAGAAGGTTGCTGGTTCGTTTCCCATCAGGACACATATCCAGGTTTTGGGCTCAATCCCCAGTGGGGGCTGATTGATGTTGAACTCTCACATCATTTTTTCTCTCCCTTAAAAAATCAATAAACTATTCTTTAAAAAAAAAAAAAATTCAGTAAATTGAAAACGTCATCATCATATTTTCATAATATGTAAAAAAACCAACAGATAACCATTGTATCTTTTGGATTGTCTCACTGCTGTCTCTGATTCATGAGATGGCCCAGTCTCCCCAGAGCACAGCTGTGCCTGTGCTTTAATGTGGTGTGATCTCGCAGTACGTGTATTTGACTGACATCTCTTTGGTGTGTTAGTGAACATTGCTACCTTTAAGGATTGTTTTATCCAGTTTTTCTTCTGTTATGGAATTCACTGTCAAATACAAGTTGTGTTTGTTTTTTCCAATACTATTACGTAATATTTCATGCAGTCAAAATTTCATGCAAGTTGTGAAACAAGATAAGGAAACAGAGACCTGCAAACCCAGCTGAGAACACGGCAAAGCTCTCTGAAGCCATCTGCGTTCTCCTCCCTGACAGTGTCTCTTTACACAAGTGCCAGGCTCCAGACTGTGTCTCCACAACAGGGGTCCTCCCTGGTGCTGCCCTTTGGTGCCACGGCACATGCTGCGGCAAGTCACCAGAGTGACTGACTACCTTTTACCAGCAGAAATGAGCCTGTCGTCTCTTTTCAAAGCAGAGGGTGTCAATAGGATTCAGACACTAGGGCACATTAGTTCATCAAATGAATATTTTTTTATGTCATTTATAAGTTATTGATTTTAGGTCCGTTAGATTCATGGTCCCTAGTGGGAGGGGAAAAAAAAGCAACGATTTAATGGATAGGTTGGAATTCCAGAGGAAGAGCAGCGGTGATTAACCCTTTCTTCCTCAACCCCCTGCCCTGTTATGTAATATCTTCAAGTAGTTGAGGGGGAGGGGCAGTTTATTATCTGTCTTCCTTGCACTTTACAAGGAATCACAAAACAAATTCAACTGGATTATTTATGTGTCTCAAAATATAATAAAACAGATTATTCTGGCTTGATAAGAGTTGCCAAGATTATTTGTTATAAGGTGGATTTTAAATTAATGAATGCATTTTAGTTTTATAAAATCCAGAGTCTATTCATTTAGAAAGTTTTACTAATTTAAAATATTGTTTATGGAGATTATAGGATATGTAGGAATCAAGTTCAGATTTTTTTTCTTAAAGAAAAAAGATACTTTCACAACTCTAAGAAAGGGAAGTTCTTCATGTTGTCATGTCAGCTATTTTATTTCTTAGGCAAGTTTTAGTAAATGATATTAGTAAGAATGGCCATCACCATAATTTTTACAATAGGATGTTTTCTCTTCCATAAATACATATAAAATTATTGTTTTATACTAGCTTTTTTTTTTTGCCTCTTTTCTGATAAGAGGATAACTGAAATAGCCTTTTACTTCTGTGTAATTAAATTCAGATTCAGAGCACTAATAATTCTAGTCAATCTTACCCAAGTAATGTTACTAGCACCTAAAGTGAATTTTCTCTTCTACTGCTTTGACAGTTACGTCTTTATTCTTATATATGAAGAAAAAAAAACTAATTATAATATAGGTAGGAAATCTTTAAAAATTCTAATTATATTTTCAATCTTCTGACATGCTGATATGTTCCAGTTGAAGAAAACGATGCCATCTAAAATCTGATTATCTTAAAACTTGACCTGACATAAAGATTATGATAGCAAACAACATTTTTAGAATTGTGTATTTTAACTCAAGTTTTTTGAGTTCCATTACAAAAAATATAAAAATACAGGCTCCCTCTTGTGGGTAAAATTACCACCTGTGTATTTCTGTGTTGCCCACATATAGGATATGACAATTTTTCTGTTTCTCTTTTAAGTAAATTCTACTGTGGTAGCCAGATGTGACATTTCACTTAACTGGAGGGGAAAAAAAAGAGTAGAGTTTGGGCTATATTTTTAAGCAGAATTTTTAATGAAAATAAATATGTTTTTTAAATTGGCAGACAACCTTTATTTTACTGCAGCAGCGTAATTTCTGTGCTGCAAAATTTTTAATAACTTTTGTCATTTTGGAATATTCTCTAATGGAGGAATTCGTGAACTAATGAAATAATGTGCAGTCTTTGCTTTGTGTATGTGGGGACTTTTGGACTTCTGTAACTATCATCAAGAGTTCTGATATTGCAATGAAGTAAAATTCCTCCCTACCAATCATGCTCCAGATAGATACTCTATGGTAATAAAACATCTCAAATACCATAAACCATGTAATCAAAACTGAGTAATCAGTGGCGTAATGTGAATGAGCACTGAAGATGCCTCCGCGCTCCGTGAGCTGAGCTGACAAGAGGCTGCGTCGGAGCCATCGCCGTGGCCGCTGAGACAGGCTTGTTCCCTGATTTCAGGAGTCTGAGGCTTGGGAGCTCAGCGGATTGCCAGGGGCCATTTCTGCCCAGCCTGGGGAAACTGATCACAAAGCCAGAGTTTTCCTCGCTACTGAGAGTGGCCAGAGCAGTCCTGAAGCTGAGCCCGGCAGTCACAGCACTAGCTGGAGTCAGGGAGGTGACTGTAGAGGCAGCGGGGCACTCCCCCAAGCAGTTATGGGTTGGCCATTGCTGTCATAGGTTTGAATGGAATCAAGTAAGGGGACTATGAGGACACCTGAGGATCTCTCAGAAGTGATTTCAAGAAATAAGAATTTTCTTGTCCTAAAGTGTCTACAGGATATTTATATGAAAATTAGACAAAATGAACAAATTCTAAGGGGATCAACATATCTGTATATATGCATATAACATAACTTATATACATATACATTTTTAGATGAACTCTGGTTGGCATTTTAATGTCAAATTAACGCCTCTTTTTCCATAAACAATAACTTTATTATATATTTATATAAATTTACACATATGTGTGTGTGTATATGTATATATATGTATGTGTGTATATATGTGTGTGTGTGTGTGTGTGTGTGTGTGTGTATCAAAATTTGAAAAGCTTCACTATTTCCTGCTTCCGGAAGTCATATGTTGCTATATTTACTAAAAAAGAAATATGTACTGTTAATGGTCTAATTTTATTTTTTCTAGCATTGCTTTTGCTGATGACACGATTCCTGTTTGAATCTGTTTACAAGATTCTGAAAGCTGAACAGAGAATTTTGGTACTGCACTGGGCAGGAAAAAGGTATGTTCATAAATAACATAATACACACCTTTGAAAAATCGATGACTAAATTTGCTACTTCCCCAAATGGAAGTTTATATGCCTTCTCTTATTTTTAATTTATAAGTGAAATTTATGACATATGTATATAAAACTCGAATACATGGTTCTTTATATTCAGATGACAACTGGAATATAATTATGATTTTGACACTCGTTATAAAGGTAATGTCTCTAAGCCCAACCAGTGTGGCTCAGTGGTTGAGCATTGACCCATGCCCCAAGAAGTCACTGGTTCAATTCCTGGTCAGGGCACATGCCCAAGTTGAGGGCCTAATCCCCGGTGGGGGCATGCAGGTGGCAGTCAATTGATGTTTCTGTCTCTCCCTCTCCCTTTCTCTCTCTCTAAAATCAATAAAGAAAGAAAATTTTTAAAAAAGGTAATGTCTCTAAACTGGCAGGTGATAGCACCATTCTATTCAGTTTCTTATTTGGAGACACTTTTTCCCGAAGTTGCAAAAGCTTTCTATTTCCATTGATAAATGTGTTTTAAAACAGTTGTTGCAGCTTTGTTGTTGTTGCTGCAAAAGAAATATTTTGGGTCACAACGAGTGGATCACACATTTTACAAAAATTTCCATAGGCTATTAAGTATTCCAGGGTATGCTTTCACAAACACATACAAAACTGCAATTTTGCTGAGGCCAAATAGATATATTCCAATCTGCTTGACAGGGAAATTTGTGGGCATCTCTCTGTGTATGCGTTTATGAAATGCTTGTTTGTTTTTCTCTAAACAGTTATACTGTTGGGAATAGGGGCTGAAGGTTTGACTGCAGACCTGGAGCTGAAAGTCCTTTTATGATCCCGTGGCTAACTGACTGTCACGGGTGGCAGCAGAAACGATTAGAAGTAAGGGATCCTGTTGTTCTGAAAAAGTGAGTTTCTAGTAAGATGGAAAAGACATTCTCTTTCAACTCCTAAAAAGAATAATAAAAATGTGGTCTTCTTGTAAAGTGAACTAAAACTTGTTTGTTCACTAATCCACTCTTCACGTCTTATGGGACTTCAAGATACAGTACACATTTATTTGTGAAAAGTCTTAGAAACAATGGTGGTTTTAACCTTCTTTTAAAACTAAATTGTTGCAAATCTAAGAAATATTTTTAAAATATTTACAAATAAGACCTCATGTAGTCACAGACCAATGAAATATAATATGCAGGAAGGCATAATGAGTCATGGATTTTATGCTAATGCAAGTGGAATAAGTCACTAATGATGTTCCAAAGGTGAAACCTCTGTAATTTTACAAGTAAAACTACCAGTGTAAGTAAAAGTAAAAGGCAAATCACACACTGGGGCTACTCCTTATAAATATGACAAACATTAAAGAACTGTTATTTTATTATAAGAAAGACACTAACATCTTCATTTAAAAGATAAGGCATAACGCCTGGGCCAGTTTAGCTCAGCAGTTAGAGTGTTGGCCCACAGACCAAGAAACTGCGGGTTCGATTCTGGTCAAGGCCTGTGCCTCAGTTGTGGTTCATTCCAGGCCCTGGTCGGGGTCATGCGGGAGGCAACCAGTCAATGCATCTTTCTCACATCAGTGTTTCTCTCTCTCCCTTCCTCCCCCTCTATCTGAAGAAAAATGGAAAAATATCTCAGGTGAGGATTTAAAAAAAAAAAAAAAAAGATAAGGCTTAACAAATTATTCATGAGGAATGTAATTCTAATACAAAAAGCTAACAAAAGAAATGCCAGGGTACTATCTATCTAGTAAAAAGTTACTGGCACTTACTATCTAATTAGTAAAAAGCAGTTTGGAATGACAGTGTGGCAACCAGAGTGGGGGGAGATGCATGCTTTTTAGAATGTTGGAAAAAGGTTATATTTGCTCAACTTTCTGGGAAGTCATTTAGCCATCTCTGGTAAGAGCTTTAAATGTTTTGAAAGCATTCTACGCAACATTTCCACTCTGTTCATTTGGAAAACATTTGTTTGCAAGTAATCCAAAATATGTTTAAAAAGACACAAGTTTAGCCTGGCCAGTGTGACTAAGCAGTTGAGCATTGACATCTCCACCAAGAGGTCATGGGTTTGATTCCTGGTCAAGGCGCATGCCCAGGTTTGGTGCTCAATTTGCAGGAGGCAGCCAGTCAATGTTGATACGTTTTTCTCATCAATGTTTCTCTCTCTCTCTCTCTCTCAAATCAATAAAAAGCATATTTAAAAAACAACGATACTGCTTTATATTTCTTCAATGTGAAGTCTGTGTAGGCAGTTCGAAGCTGATTAGATGGCCCCACGGTCATCAGGGACCCAGACACTTCATCTTTTACTGTGCTGCTCTGAACGCATGACATTTACCTGGTATCTTGGAATATCCAGTATTGGCATACCAGCGATCATATTCATATTCCAGTAACAAAAAGGAAATATTTCTAGAAGAAGATCATGCATTCTCTCTTTAAGGACATCTTCTAAAAGGTGTCCATACTCCTTCCACTTACCTTCCCTTGGCTAGAACCTAGTCACAAGGCCGTGCCACACTGCAAAACAGGCTGCAAAATGTAGACTTATTTTGGAATATAAATGTGAGTTATTCAATGGAATAACAAGAGAACAGATATTAGGGCCTAAGTAACAGCATTTGGTGATTTCACTTTCAAGAAGCTAACTTAATGAAAGGAGGTAAAATTTATTATGTAAATATGTTACTTTTCATATATTTATGTTGGGAAGAATTTGAGATTGACTAAACTGTCCAACAATAGAGCAGTGATTACATAAATTTGAGTACTTTCATATTATAGGATATTAAACAGTCCTGGACGATTAAGATATTTTTTAAGTATTTTTTAAAGTATTCTGTTACTTTAGAGTGGCAGTTTTTAACATTTTTCATCTCATGGCACACATAAACTAGTTACTAAAATTTGAGGCATATCAAAACCTATATTTTTTGCTGATCTGACAAAAGTAGGTATACTTTTTATTCATTTACACTGGACGGACGGCTCTTGTTACATTGGCTGTTGTCATTTTTTAATATGACAATCTAAGGGAAAGGAGGTCAGTGCCTCTGACGAAACAGGCAAGTGTTACATGTTTTAAAAATTCTTGAGGCACTTTGAAACGCTGTTTCAGAATGTCAAAAGAGTGAGAATTTACGGTAAAGCTAAGTGAAGAATCGCAATTAGGTAACAGTCTGTGTGAAATTCCTTGCAGGCATTGGAGTGAGAGCACGTCCCCGGAGCCCAGCTGGCTTCACTCTTTGGAACCTGTAAGACAAGCATAGTGTTGAGGCGCATGGGCGCTGGAGACCCACGGATTGGGTTCAGCTGGTCACTGTACCGCTTGTGCATGTCGATTGTTGGGTACATTCCTTAACCACTGACCCTTCAAGTGTAAGACCTAAATACGAACGGAATATGCTGCATCATGCAAATATTTGCCATGTGAACCCTGGTGTGGCTACACTAATGTCTACAAAATAGACTTTAAAGCCCCAACCATTACTGAAGATACTCACATTATAACTGATTGAAGTTTCATTTCAATAGGAAGATAGAATACTTTTAAGTCTAAATGCCCCTAATGACATAAACTTTTAAAATTATTAAGAAAGCATTGACAGAGCAGCAAGGAGAAACACACAGATCCACAAGACAGTGGATCTTACTTCTCTCAGCAACGGGTAGAGTTAAATAGAGAAAATCAGTGAGGATGTAAAGTTGAAAGACAAGATTAAGACACTTGACCTGATGGGCATATATAGAATCTTGTATATATTTACAAAACTCACATCATTTTGAAGAACACAAGAAATAGTTATAAAAATTAATGGTATATTATTATATATTAGTTCTCAATCATTTCATATAATTGGAATCAAAATAAATTAAGCTTCAAATGCATGATAAATGTATAGCTGGGCAAAGTTTCAAAATTTAAGAAAAATCACAATAGAAATTATATTTTAGACTAAACAAAAGGGAACATTCTACATCTAACAATTGTATAATTTCTCCAAGATGTATTTACTGGGGAAATTATGCCTTAAACAAACGTATTAGCAAAAAGAAAGAGTAAAATTAAAAGACCAATAATTAATTTCAAAAAGACCAATAAAATAAATGTGAAGTAGTAGAAGGCAGAAATTAAAGAGCAAAATTAATGAAGTGAAAGAGAAGATGAAGAAAGTGAAAAATCAATTGTTGCCAATGGTGAATGAGTTTTCCAAACCTCTGATGAGACTGAGCAAGAGAGCAAGTGACAAGGGGCAAACAACTATTATCAGGAATGACAAAGACAACATCACAACACCCATTGGTGTAAAGAAAAATAAAGAAATAAAGTTAATAGGTTCGAGGAAGAAACAATCAATTATCATGGACAGATGATATGAGTTAATAAGAGCATTTAGTAAAGTTGATGCATAGACTGACATCAACTATATTTCTATAAATATCGGCATCCATTTTTATCTAGTATACAGTAATAAGAGATGTGCAATACTTCTATGAGGAAAATTGTGAAGCTATTAAGAAATATTTTCAAGGTTGAAATAAATGATGAGATAAACCTTGTTTGTATACTGAAAGATCCAATATTGTAGAGAAGTCCCTCACTCCCAGATTGATTTATAAGTACAATGTAATCACAATCAAAATGCCACCTGGTTGTTCTGTGTTTGTTTCTTTGTTATTTGTTTGGATAGGTGTGTGTGTGTTGGGGGGTGGGGGTGGATGTATGTGACAGGTTGATTCTGAAATGCAGAAGGCAAAAGAATAGTCAAGACACTTTTGACAAAAAAGAGAGAATGTTTAGGAGTGATTGCCCCACCAATATTCTAAAGCTCTGTTAGTTCAGAAATTGTGGTATTACTGCAGGGGTAGACAAGTAGACAAATGAGAGAGAACAGAGCTCAGAAACCTCTTGGATATGTGGACATTTTATTTATAACAAGGGTGGTACTTAAAAGCAGTGGACAAACAACAGACTTTTAAATAGAT